GCCATGAAATCTGAGGAGATGTCGTGGCCCCCGCCATGATATTCACACACCCCTACACGTCGGTCGGAAGAAGTAGTAAAAACATGAAGCAGGAAGGCGGATTACATTGATTGGGTTGAGGCCCCCCCAGAGAATCACAGAACACAGCAGAAGGGTGTCGATTCTTGAAGTAGGAAGGCGCTTGAAGTACATTGGGATTTGGAAATCCAGAAATACCTACTTTCAACGACCGGCGTGTACTCATCACCCCCCTCTTGGCAGCCCCCGACCCCAGGCAGCGCAGTCCTGCCCAGGCTCCGCGCCTCCACGTCCGCCCGGGCTCCGCCCGCGGAGCGGGCGGGGCCCCCTGGCGAGGCGGCTCCCGCGGGGCAGCTTCGGGCTCCCAGCCGGGGCACGGGCGAGCCCCTGGCTCCCCCGGGTGGGCGGTGCTGGTGGTGAAGGAAGCGTCCTTCTCCTCGTCCTCCTCCAACGCCTCCTCTTCCTCCTCCTCCCCCTGGCCTCTCCTGGCCTTTCCTCCCCCTCCTGCTCCTCCGCCTGCTTCTCCTCCGGTGCTGCCTGCAGGGGGATCTGTTCGGTCCCTGCCCTGCCCAGGGGAAAGCTGTGACATTCAAAAAAAGATGTCGAAGCCGATGGTTGCCCCCAGGGGGGAAAGGACCACAACTCCCCCAGGTGTGGCTGATCTGGGAACGGGGTGAGAGGGTCATCCTCCTCCGCCTCCTCCTCCTCCTGCTCCTCCTCCTCCTCCTCCTCCTCTCCTCCTCCCTCCTCCCCCTGCTCTTCCCAAATCCACCTCACCTCTCCCTCCTCTCCCTGCTCCCTCCCCCTCCACCTCCTCCCCCTCGCCCCTCCTCCTCCTCATCCTCCTCCTCCTCCTCCTCCTCCTCCTCCTCCTCCTCCACCTCCTCCTCCTCCTCCTCCTCCTCCTCCTCCTCCTCCTCCTCCTCCTCCTCCTCCTCCTCCCCCTCGCCCTCCTCCTCCTCCTCCTCCTCCTCCTGCTGCCCAGCAGCTTCCAACACTTCGACGATGGCCGCCCCGTCCTTTAATATGGGTTTAGGAAATACCTTTTCAGCATGCACCGCGCGTGGTAATCCTTCCCCCTCCTTCCCCTTTCCATGCCTCATGCCGCTCAATCCCCCCCGCCCCCTCATCCCGTCTCGATCCCCCCTCCGTTTCCTCCTCCCCCGTCCCGTCCCCGTCCCCCTCCCCCTCCTCGCCCCCCATCCACCTCCTCCTCCTCCTCCTCCTCCTCCTCCTCCTCCTCGTCCTCGTCCTTCTCCATTTGTTCCTTCCAATTGCCCCAAAGACCCCCCCCCCGCCTTTGCGCTGCTGCGCGCCCCTCCGGGCCCCCCCTCCCTCGCGAGGCCCGGCGGCGGCGCGGGCCCATCTGGGGCCACCCCGAAGGCGCCAGCCGCTCCAATCGCACTCGAGCTTCTCCAAGAACAGCACGGCACGCGCCGCCTCTTGCGGTGGCCTCGGACGCCTTCCGCACGGGAAGCACAAGAGGGGCAACGTCAAGAGGTGAAAGAGGAGGAGGAGGATGAAGAGGAGGAAAAGGAGGAGGAGGGGGAGGAGGAGGAGGAGGAGGAGGAGAAGGATATCATCAGCAGCACCAGCAGCAGCAGGCAGCAGGAGGACGAGGATCGCACTCCTGCGCGGGCAGCCGGGGCGGAGGGGCAGGAGGACGAGGAAGTGGAGGACGAGGGATACATGGAGAGCGAGGAAGCAGGACGGAGGGGCGTAAGCTACGTTCGCCTGGGCCTGCCTGAAGAGGAAACGTCCTGCAGAGGGCGTTCTTGTGCATGCACCATGCTGCCATGGTCGCTGTTTTACCAAATTCGGATTGTAGAAATGATTTCTCCACCAGTTTAGCTCCTGCTCCCGCGAGGCTCGCGGGCCGTCACGCTCTTGCTTACGCGGGGGTACCAGCAGGCGCCAAGTACGTTGTAACTAAAATCTGCAAGGCCGGCCTTCGAACCAGGAAAGCCGCGGGGCAGAGACAAGGTGATACACACACGTGCACAGGCAAGGGGGAGGCAAGCGGACAGGAGAGGGGAGAGGCCAGGCAGGCACCCGAAGGGGGCTCCAGAGGCACGCAGGGGATCATAGCGCCCACGAACAGTTCAATTGATGACCTCCTGGGAATATCAGACTCACAGGTTTTCTGTTGTAGCCTCGAGCATATCTGAATCCTCCATTTCGGCGAACCGTACGACAGCCGCATATCAAACTCGTTACAAACGGTGTCCCTCTGTCTGGACGGGCCTGTCAGTCTTCCTCGCTGCTCTCTGGGCTCGCCTCTTGTCCTTTTATCATGATCGCCGTCTCGTCCTGCTGAAGTGTGATATGATAAGATTTCAACTACTACCTAAACTATGCAAAACCAGCTCCTTTTTGTGGTGAATATATCCGAAAGATTCTGCATGCCATCCACCCATCGTAAGAGTGCTCGGTTGTCGTACTGATTCCTTCAGTACTGCTCCTTCGATCGTACTTCGCTCGCCACGACTCAAACCAGATCCCTCGCGACCGCTGTGTAACCATCTCCTGCAATCACTTCAAATCGGTATTGCGGCTAACCCCCTACTCCCGCAAAGCGCACAACCGCTCGCCAGTCCCCAGTGCATCCGCCAAATGTGGTGCCTCGGCCACAAGTGTAACTCTGTAAACTCTCTGCATTGACTTCGAACAAGAACCTATCATAGCAGCGTTGGCCAACTCACTGGAAAGCACGTCCTCGCCCACGAGAAACAACGGATTTCCTCTGATACGGGTGTCCTTAGAGAACTCGTCGCTCTCGGATGTCCACTGGCGCGGCCAGAGCCGCGAGCGATGGACACCGCTGTCTATCCAGGTCGGTGCCGGACGAAAGCTTCTGGATGTAGCCAGCGCCGCGCTAACCCTCGTTGATGGCCTTGTTTATCCTCGCCTGATTCGCAATGCACGGCGAGCATCGCTCGTTGTGCTTGACATGCGTGAACAAACCAGGTCAACTCGTAGTTGACGTGGCGACCCTGGCATCTCGCCCGTAGCCTTACGAAGAGATGTCACCTGCTGCTTGGTTAACGGGCTGGCTATATCCTCCCTTCGCCACGTTGGGGTAGGGGCCGTCTCCGCGTTCTAACAGTAGCCATTCGCGGCGACATGAACTTTTTTCGTTCGGCAAGCGCTGAATCTCACAACCTCGGAAAACGAAATATTCCTTCTGCCGCTTCGAGAAATTCAGCTGCTCGCGCGCGCGCCGGAAGGCTCATTTCTCGAAGTTCGCCAGAGCGCCTACAAGTAAATCACCCGCGCGAGTGCGCAACATTCCAGACAACTCGCCTTCAGCATTCTCACAAGTAAACAAAGCTGGCCCCAGCACTGAATGAAACCGCCCACCCTTCTCAAGAGCTTCGCAGAAAGCCAACCAAAAATCAACGAGCCGCCCCCGAAAACCCGTCGATCGCCTTTTCTGCCCTCAGCAACTGTCGTGGATGTTGCCCTGGTATTAGTTCGCCTCGAAGTTGACGCTTGTAGACCTCTCGACCAATGCCCCGCCCAGGAAGGTAGGCAATCTCGACGTCTCCGCAACCCGCGATCACCTTCTTGCCCGCAATCACGAAGACGCTGCACGTGCGTTCCGTCGATATTGCCCACGACCCTTGTCCTAGATATCCTGAACTATCATGCGTGACTTCGCCTCGGCCAAAAAAAAACGCCCCCAATGTCATCGCTACTGTTGGTTATGACCCACTTTGCCGGGATGGGGATGTCGCTCGTGGTATCCCAAATCCTCTCGCTCTCCTCGATGCTCAGCGTCTCGCTCGCCTCAAAGACCTGCCGGGCCTTCCAATCCTTCGCATCTGAAACTCCGGGACCAGTGAACAACTTACGCTGTTCCTCGTTGACTTCACTCGTTCAGGCGTACCTCCTTTTCTACCCTCCTTTGCGGCCGTCTGCCCTACTCGGCGCGCATGCCCCGCCCGACCGCAAAGGCCAAGGTCTCAATGTCGACGCCGCGCTGGCCGCAGAAGGGCCGGCGGCTCTCGCGCGCCGCGGCCGCCCCCAGCAAGCCGCCGGCATCGTCGCGCGCGTTGAACGCGTCCTTTCGACGAAATGAGGCCGGGACATCGTCGAGCAGTCGTCGGCGCTTCGCTTCTCGCTCGACTGCGTTCTCTGCCGGTCGCTGCTCCGCGTCTGCCGCTGGATCATCACATTTGTCTTCTATTCCAACGCTGCATGTGACCGAATACATCTGGGCCCTAATCTTTTCCCATCGGAACTTCATCCGGTCGCAGCTTTTTTCTCTACGAGGTCCTTCACGGCGTCCCCCGTCGCGTCCGCCTGCTTCGCCTGCTCGGGCTCTGGCACGCTCGCAACAGACTCCGCTGGCACTGGCGGTCCCTCCTGCATGCGCGGCGGGTCTCCCGATGGTGGTTGCTGCTCAGGTACTTCTCCCTTCTCGATTGGCTTGGGAACAACAAGTAAGGGTGCCTCGGGCGGCGGTTGTGCCGCCACTAGCTCGTCGGACCCGGGCTCCATCTCGCTCGAAAGCCTGGCGGAACTGGAAACCGCTGCCTCCGGCATCTCTGGTGGCGCCCATGAGGTCCGCCCCCTGCGCTGCCGCGAACCAAGCCCTTACTTCTTCGTCAGATGCCGCCCAAATCTTCCGGCGCGCGCGCGTCGGCGACGCCGCGAAGCACAATCCATATCGCGCGCCCCCCCCCCCCCCCCGTGGCCGATGACGCGCGCAAGGCCTCGCCAGTTGATGGCGCTCTCTGGCCACGTGCCCTGCTCGCGCTGATCAGCGTAGAATGCGCCAAGTCGCCCGCGTTGAAAGACCCACGTTCAGGTCGTGCTTGTCGTAGTTATGCCTTCTTGATGACGTCGTCGTGGGCCACCTTCGCGCGAGCTTCCCGAGCTGCTTGTCGTAGCGCGACCTTCCTGGCAAATTGAAATGTCGGCGTGGCCGAAACTGCCGCCGCGCCGATGCGCCGCCCTCTCCGTCGCCCACGAGGCCAGCCGGCAAACGCGATCTCGCCCGAGCACCCAGTGCGCCGGTGAAAACCCCGACCTCCAGATGAGTGAAATCTTCGCCTGGTTGATCTCCATAACGGTCTTCAGGGCGTCTTCGCGTCCTGCGCCCTGCTTCGCCCGCGCGACCTTCCTCCGCGTGGCCCGCCGAAAATCTCAACGTCGCTCCGCCGTGGCAATGCGCCACGCTGCCGCGTTGGCGACCGAGTCGAGTCTGCGGCCGCGATTCGATATGCGCTCAGAGAAACTGCAAAGGACGCTCTCGACACGATCGACAATGACTCCAACTTCTGGTTCTTCAGCCCACGATGTCCAACGCAACTCATATATTCCAAGCGCGGTGCTCAAGAGCTCGCTCGCAACTAGGCTACCACCTAAAACGAACGACCCAAACAACGTAGATTGAGAAATTACCACCCAGCTTAGTCAGCGCCACTCTCGGGAAAATGTCGAAACCCACGACCACGTTGAACTCATCCTCCGATGGGAACTTGCTCGGTCTTACTAGCGCTGGTCGCCGCATGCCATCGCAGCGCTCGCAAAAGAACAACCCGCGCGCAATGATCGCAGCCCACGATGCCCATCGGAATACAAAGTGCTCACAACATGTCGATCTTCGTCGGAACGCGCGCGAGGTTCTCGCGAAATCTCATGCTCGCCACATTGAGGTCTAAGTAGCTGGTCCCATTGTACTTTGCGAGTGGTCTCCATGTCCCTCCTCCCATCTCCATTATCGCCGATCTGCGCCCTGTGCGCCATGGGTGCGATCTTCGTGACTCGCAGCTGCGGTGATAGGCGCGCCCAACCCCCCCGTCCAAGTTATCGCGCGATCCCCGTTCGCTTCGGGCGCAAGCCGTCCAAAATGGTTCTCGAGAGGCGCGAAGTCGCGGCGCCGCCGCCTATGGGGCGCGCGGGTTCAATCTGACCATCAGCAGCTGGACCGCCGCGAGCGCCCCCTCCAGCTTGGCGATCTTCGATGCGCCCTGGTCAACTGAAGGCCGCGGCAAGAGACGAGGCGCGAAGAAATCGACAAAGTCGCTCAAAATCTCCATTGCCTGTTCAACCTTCTCCTTCTGCGTGCTCGCCAAGCCGCCCATTCGAATAACTCGGCGTCGTAGTCCTCCAACTCCGCCGGGTAACTCCGGTCCTCCTCGCTCTCTTCGCAGGCTGGGCTTCGCCGTCGCGGTCGCCCTCCGCTGGGTAGATCAACCTCGACTCCATGCGTCCTGCCGCCAACGCCGCGCCTCTCGCCCCCCGGCGGAGCTGCTGCCCTCCGCCATCTCGCGAGGCACCTTTCACCGGCAAGGAATGACCAACTTGTTAAGAATGCGCTGGCTGTTAGCGAGGTAACCGGTGAGTTTTGGAATAGGCTTCTGGCTGTCGACGTCATCCTTACAGACGCCGCATTGAGACCCCGATGAAAACTGTTCTCCGGATACATCAAACACCTCCGCCCGAATCCCACGAGACGTCCACAGTGCACAGGGCCGCGGCTGTTCGGCCAGAAGATAACGCCCTCGGCTGGCGCGGCAAAAGCCAACCTTCCGCGCCGAACGGAAGGCTTGACACTGCCGCACATGTTCCGCATGCTCCCCCAATCGATGGGAGGACGCACGTTCGCCATAATCGACCAACTACGGCAATCGAACGCCAAGACAGCAAAGGCTGGGTCGCGCTCGTGGACGACGTTGAATCGACAACCCTCGCCCACAACAGCCGGCTGTGGTAACTCTGAGGGATCCCACTCGAGGCTCGAAAACCATCGTCGCCTTGAAACTCTTGGGCACAATATTTCCAGCAAGCGCGCATTCCTTTTTCAGCATGGCCCTGTTGCGCGCCTTCTGAGCGGTGGTCCGTCTGGAAATCTTCGCCAGCTCGTCACCTGCCCCTTCGGCCAGCTCGCGGCGCGCGCCGTCCGCGCGAACGCCTCTCGCAGCCAGTGAGACATCTGAGCTCGGGCAAGCGTCTGGCTTCGAAACAAATCCCGATGCGCCCTCCTTCGCGGTCATCTCAACGACGCAGTCGCCCTCGTAGCCGTCCGTTTCCAAGAGCGAGTACCCTTGCTTCGCGATGTCTAGATCGCTCGCGTGGCGCGCTAACGCGTCGCCTCGTGGCGACTCAGCTCCATCTCCTGAGGCTCCGCGCACTCGTCGTCTCTGGACCGCGACGCACCGATGCCCACGCGCGGCTTTTTCCTGATCTTGATGAGCGTCACTGCGGCCCCCGAGGCCGCAAACTCCAGCTCCTTCGCCTGTGCGGGAACGCGGCCATCGAGCATCTCAAGGTCCGGCGTCGACGGAGATCAAGAGGCCTGCACAGTAAGAACCTGCGCCGGGTGAGCCTCGCCCCTGCAGCCGTCGATGCCGATCGGGGCGATCCGTGCCTGGCACGGCGGGCGTCGGGCCTCCTCCATGACATTGCCTTGGAATACTGCGGAATCGAACGGACCCTGAGCCGCCCATGCGCAAAACCTCCTGACGCCGTACTCGCGCGTTCCCGCGCACTTCGCGATGGCGAAATAGTTCGAGCATCCGTGAAATTGTCGCCCATTCGTCTTGTCGGTCTTCATGGCGACGCCGATCTTACGTGAAGCGGGGCAAATGATATCGGTGATGTTGCTCGTCTCGTCAATGAACTCCCAAACCGCTGAAATGTCTGATGCATTCGATGCTGTCGGCTTCCCTGCAGTCGGCTAGGCGATGTTCGCGCCGCCCAGCTTGCTCTCGATCTGCTCGCGGCGTCTCTGGGGCCCCTTGTAATTCTGCATCTCCGCGCGCAGTGTGCTGCAGACGTCTCCTCCGCGATGCCCATATTTACTGCAGTCCCCGCGCTTGGCGTTCTCGCCCGGCGGCCCCGTCGAGCCCCCTGAACGCGGCGCCCCAGCCCCCCCCCCGCGAACCTGCGCCCCTTCCACGCTTGAGCGCGGCCCGCGTAATAACCATTCAGTTTCTCGACGAGCACCTCGCGCTCGCCGCTCAACTGCAGGCCCCATACGTTATGGCGCCCCCTGAGCTCGTGGTCCTTCTGGTCGGAGTCCCGCGCGTCCTCTTGCGCATTGCGCATCTGGCGCCGCGGTCGGCTTGACCTTAGCCATCGGATTTGCTGTCGGCGTCGCTGCTGCTACATGTGGCCCCTGGGGCTTCCAGCGGTTTTGGTTGTTCCCGCCGCGGCAGCCGTCGCCCTCGCACGCGTCGACGCTGTCCGCCGAACAGAACTGTCCGCTCGTCGCCGCTGTCCGACTCGCTCGAGTCCCCGTAGAACGAGTCGTCGTCTCCGCCGCCCTGCTCGCCAACCTCGCACCCCTCTCCATCGACCGCGCAAATGTCGGCCATCTCCGCGTCGTTGCGCTCGTTGGGCGCGACGTGCGCGTGATTGGGCTTGCCGGGCTTGGCCGGGCCCCGCGGCTTTCCGCCTCTTCCGCGCCCGAACTTCGTCGCGCCGCGTCCGCTTTTTGGGCTGTCCTTGCCGCCGGCCCAATGCCCGATGCCTCTTGCAGGCGCCGCGCCGGGTCCACGTCTCTTCCTCCTCGATCGCCTCCTGGATCTCCTAGAAAGAAACCTCGCCTATGAAGAATCCTCGGTGCTTCGGCGTGTCCTTCAGCTTGTTCCGGGCCGCGTCGTGCGCCGAGTACGCATCGTGGACGTCGTCATCGTTGGAAGCTCCTGCATCGCTGCCATAAGCATGTTCACCGCATTGGCCTGCTCCCCATCGAACGTTTCGTCCGAGATCTCGCTTTCCCCCTGGTCCTCGACTTGATTCGCCCTGCCCTTGTTTCTATAGTCCTACTTGCTGGGCTGCTGTTGGTGCTGATGTCCTGCCTGACGCTTCTCCCGCTCGTGGGCGCCATGGGAGTTCACCTTCAGTGCGTGCTGACATGTGACCAAACTGTACTCCGAGCCGCTGTTCATCGGGCTGTTCCTGTGTTGATCCTCGGTGAACCCCGCGCCATCAATCAGAAGGTGCGCCATCGCATCTTCTTTCGCAGGTCTTCCATGCGCTAATCCTTTTCTGCCAAGTGCTCATCGATGTATGTGTCTTTCTTCCAGTAGCTCCGCTGGAAGAAGATCTCGAACGCCTGCCTTTCTGGGCGATCGCTTCTTCGTCTAACGTGGGCCAGAGCATCCAAGATCTGCTGCGCGCCCTTGTGTCTCTTGAAATCTGCGGGGTCAGCCACCAGGCGCTCCGCTCGCATCCAAGCTCGACCATGCAATCCGTCCAGGAAGAACGTTACCCTGAAACGGCATGTGTTCCTCTTCTTCCTCCTCAGGTTGATCTCGACAGCGCCATCGTCATTTCCTGATCATGCGAACGTTGCCGATGCTACGCTGCCCCTGTTTTTTTTACTCGCTGAACACCTCGGGATTGGCGCCAGTGTGGTGCGGCAAACCATCCCTCCCCACGACTATTTCGTCATCGCGGTTCTACGAGCGCTTGGGTTCGTCATCGAATCTGCTGGATGTTCGGCCATACCCACGATCGGAACCACAAGCGCCGCGACACCACTCTGATTGTGAACATGATCTCTTCCACCAGCTCAGTTCCTGCTCCCGCGGGGTTCGCGGGCCGTCAAGTTTCTGCTGGCATACGTGAGGGTGCCAGCAGGCGCCCAGTATGTTATAGCTATAATATAGAAGGCTTGCGTTCGAACCAGGAAGGCCGCGGGGCACAGACAGGGTGAGAAACGCACGAGCACAGGCAAGGAGGGAGGCAAACGGACAGGAGAGGGGAGAGGCTAGTCGGGTTCCCGAGGGGAGGGGGCTCCAGAGGCACACAGGGACTCATAGCGACGAGGGGCTCAGTAGATGAACTCCTGGGAATATCAAAATGATTCAACGAGGCTACCGTGGCTGGCCGCTGCGCAATGCAGACTCAACTTCCAGCTGGATCACGAATCTTCTGTTAGATCCTTTAAGACTGGGGGCCGTGGCTCAGAAGAGGGGCCTGGGCCGAGTCCAGGGCAGCGAGTCTCTGCGCATTAGGCAACTTTGAGCGTGCGCCGCACACCGCGACATACATCGAAACGATGGCGTCGAGACCATATGATATGAGAGATGAAGTGAGGCGCATGAGACACATCATCTTGATGTCCTTGCTCTGATAGGTTGCGCACCCGTGACGCACAACTTGAACCAATGCGACGGCGATTGAAACGCCAGCAAGCGCGAAACCCGTTATCTCAATGGCCACTGGATGCGTCTGTAGCAAGTCGCTGAATATGATGGGAAGATAAAGATGTGACGCCTTCCGTCTGATGTCCGGCGCTGATGAGGCGTAAGAGAAACGCTTGGCCAAACTCTTGAGCCGAAGGGTCTGACGCGCAAGGCTACACCCAACGGTTTGCTCCAGGGCGCAGTATGCCTCCGACATCGGAAAAAAGAACGCGTCATTCCCTCCCTCCCCCCCCCCTGACAGTCGACGCTGCGTGTAAAAACGACGTCGCGCAACAATCACGCTCAAAAAAACCTCGATTCCATCTTTACGCCGCGTTCCTTGCCAAAGTATCCGCGAAGGCCAGAGGAGGGGAGACGGGCTAACCAAGCCCCGCGGGATTTGTTCACGCCGCCCGGATGTCAGGATCTCCCTCCCCCGTAGAATGTATCCAAAGGCCCCCTGGATCACCCCGAGAGATCCTCGATAGGGCTCAACAGAAGCGAGTCTTCGGGCTCTCTGACGGAGAGCCTCAACTTAGCCATTCTGTTTGGAGTGCTTTCGCAAAGGATCTCGTGCGCCCGCGACGGCTTCCACGAGCTACTTGGGCTCTCCGAGCGTCGTCGCAGGCCTTCTTCGAGATATGCTGGGCCATGGCGGACCCCTCCAGAGGAGGGCCTCTGGGGTCGTCCTGGGGTCCGCCAAGGGGCTCCCTTGGCTCGTCGCGAGGCCTACTCGGGCTATGCGTGCCGGCGTGAGCCCGGAAACGCTCTCAGCCAGGGGAAACCGAAAAGCGTTGGCAACACGTCTTTCGGACAAAAAGAGCGCCAGGCTATTCGCCGGCGCAGCAGCCCTGGTCGCGCAACTCTTGTACGGACCACATGGCGGGTCGACTAAGAGAAGCGGGCCAAGCAAGGATAAAGAGTGAGCGGGGAAGAAAGGGACCGAGGAAAAGAGGAAGGAAAGACCAGGGACGACAGGAAAAGACAGACCAGGCCGACAGACGGAAGGAAGGAAGGGTGGGGTCGGGGGGACATTGAAAGCGCAACCAAACAAGACAACCTTATATTGTCGATGAATTTGACCGGCTGGTGCTCTCTTGGCGCCCCTTTGGGCCTCACGGGGGCCTCCCGAGTGCCTCTCGGGGCGCCTTCGGGAGCCGTGGGTATCCTCGGAGGCATCTGGTAGGCCGTCTCAGGGCTCTCTTGGGGCGTGTGGGGAGGGGGGGCGGGGCACTCCAGAGGGCCCTCTTGGATCGCATTCGGGTCCGCCTGAAGCTCTCCTGGCCCGTGTCGGGGGCCTTCTTGAAGCGCCCGCTGGCCACCTGGGGGCCCCTCTTCAGCGCTCTCGAAACTGCATGATGCTGAAAGGTTTGGGGAGGAGGTGGAGAGATAGGGTTAAGTCGGGCGTGTCCCCCTACAGGGAGTTTTTGACGAAAAATAGGAATATTCAAAAGATGCCCCAAAATACTCAACAAACAATCCCCACTTCATATTTTGACTATTTTTGAATATTCTCCCTGTAGAGGGACAGGCCCGACTTAAAGAGATGGGGGAACGAGCTCGGGGGGGGGAAACATCAGGCTGGAGTCGGCGATGCATCGCCGAGAGATCGGCGACAGGCCTCCATAACGAATCCGCAGGCCCATGGGCTGGGTGGGGCCATCGGGCGGCGGTCAGTAGCCGATTGGGGGCCGACGCGCCCACCCCCCCCCCCCCGGGAGCCCATCTCTTCTCTGACGCTGCCCCCGATCTTCTGACGCCGTCCCTTCCTGGAGCGCTCCCGGATGGGGGAACAGACAGTGACGCGAACATCAAAACTCAGAGGTCCGAGCGGATTTCTCGGGTCGGCGCTGGACCCCTCCTTGGCGCGCGGAGTGCGCCAGGGGCGGCGCCAGAGGCGCCGCCAGGGGGGCCCAGCGCCGATCCGAGGAATCCGCGGGGGACCCGCGAGTCTGTATGGTCATGCCATTGCTTGCTCCCCCTGTTCCTGGAACGCTCCCGAAGCTGAACGATGCCGAACAACGTGGGGAGCTGGCGCACGGGCCGCCGACGGTCGCCACAGAAAGGCCGCCGAGGGCCGCAGGAATAAAGGGGCCTCAGGACACACAAATAAATACACACAAATAAAACAATGTCCCATATTTTCGTATATTTTTGGGGTTTTCGTCTTCCCCCCCACTTCCCATAGTTTCCCATATCTTCTGGGGAGTCGACGATTACTTGTGTCTGTGTGTGTGTTTTTTCCCCTCCTGAAGCGAGGGCGAGGTCGGCGGCGGCGAGCCTCACGGGAGCGCAGCGCGCGGGCAGCTCCGCCGGCGGAGCGTCCGGGCGCCAGGACTTCATGGCCGAAGGCCCCCGAAAGGGGCAGCGCCAGGGCGCTGGGCAGCGCCACCGCTCGCGTCGTCGCCGTCGGGGGGGTCTGCGGGGGTCCTCGATTGGACGCCGGAACTGGGTACGGGAAAAAAATGGTACACACGGCGTGGACAGCGAGTCCTGTTCAAAATGAACAGGATCCGCTGTTGGGCATTGTACCCAGTCTTTCCGTGCCCATTTCGTTCGTGCAGACTCGACGGGGTCGGAGGAGGAGGGGGGGGAGTTAGTGAAGGCGGGGTTGGCAAACCGGCTCACGTAATTGAGTTCTCTGGGGCCTCCCAGTGCCACGGTGCCTCAAGGCAAGAAGAGGAGTGCTCCCCAGGCTTGTAGTTCTCTGTACTCAGAACTCAATACTGAAATATTTTAATCAGGAGCAGGGAACGCAACTTCCCAGTTCTTCTTGGAAGTGCCGCGCTTTCTCGCCCGCACGACTTCTCCAGAAGCTCGAGGGCCCCAATCGGGCCAAGAAGGTCCCAAGAATCGCCCACGAGGGCGCAAAAGGCCTCGAAGGCGGTCCGACAGCTCCCAAGACGCCCAAGATGGCACACAGACGGTCCACGAGGCCCCCAAGACGCCCCAAGAGGGCCCCGAGATGTCAAAATCATTCATTAACTCCTAAGTGTGTGAAAGATTTGGTGTTCTCGCCTGTTCGCTCGACGCTCCAAGGCGGCCCAAAAGGCCCCCCGATCGCTCCAAGACAGCCCAAGAGGCCCCCAAGAGAGGCCCCAGAGGGGAAACACGAACCGACGTTTCGAGCCCTCCGCCCCAAAGTGGCCCCCGAGACCGCCAGCAGACCCCGAAGAGGCCCCCCCACAAGCTCACGGAGGCCCCCAAGAGGCTCAAATCAGGCCCCAAGAGGTCCTTAAGAGACCCCCGAAACACCCCAAAATCGAAGCCGAGAGGCGTCCGAGACGTCTCCCAAGAGATCCCCAAAGGCATCCCAAAGGCAACTTAACTACAACCCAGGCATGGTGGCGGAACGGGCCGCAGGCCACGACATCCGCCGCGCCCTGTTGGCTTGCCACACGGGGTGCCTGGCGTGCTGGACCCTACCAATTTGGGTCTTGGTTCTTTTCCAAAAGAGCTCCCCCTGAGGCTTCGGCCCAGTGCGCGGGCCACCCGGAAGGCTTGCCCAGAAGTGGTTGCCAACGCTTTGCACGCTCCAGATGGCCTCCAAGACGGCCAAGGTTACCTTCAAGTTCTCCCAAGACGGTCGATGGCCTCCACGACGGCCCAAGAGCGTCCAAGATGCCTCCAAGTTTGCCCAAGAAGCCTCCAAGACGGCCCAAGATGGCCTCAAGATGCCAGCAGACGGCTCACGAGGCCCCCAAGAGGCCCCCAAGACGACCCAAGAGGCCTCCAGGAAGGCCCGAAGAGGCCAGAATCGCTGATTTCCCTTTGGTGTTTGACAGATGTTGGCAGTTGCTTCTTTTCGGCCTTCGGGCGGTCCAAGACGCCCCTGCATCGCTCAAGAGACCTCCAAGATGGCCCCAGAACGGCCTCAGAGGCCCCCAAGAGGGCTCCAAGAGGACCCCAAGACGGCCCAAGAGGCCCCCAAGACACCCAAGATGGCCTCCAAGACGGCCCTGGAGTACCCTAAGAGGGCCCCAAGTCGGCCCAGACAAGCCCCCAAGACGACTTCCGACGGCATCCGACGGGCCAGGAACGATCTACGATGGGCAAAGAGACCCCCGAGAAGCCCCAAAGAGGGCCAATACGTAATGCCCCCAAGATGCCTCCAAGAGGCTTCCAGGAAGCTCCCAGTAGACCCTAAGAGTGCCCCCAGAGGCTCACAAGATGGCTCCTTCTCCTCCTCCTCCTCCTCCTCCTCCTTCTGATCTTCCCCGCCATCCCCCCTCCCAATGTGTCCCGAAGGGTTTCCACAACGACTGGGGAAACGCATGGTCCGATAGCTTGGCAGAGCTCTTGCCACAACGCTCGGCCACATGGGCGAGTCCAGAAGGCAAGGGGGCGGCGGTGACTCGCCGTAGGCGTCTTCGATCCGCCGCCCCCTGTGATTTGCCAAAAGGGTGCACGGCGTGCCAAAGGCCACGTAAATGTTTATCATTTTTGACAATTTCTAGAAGGCCTTTGGCCCAACGCCCAACACGCCAGGACGCGCATAGGCGTGCAAGGACGCGCACAGGCGCCCAAGGAGGGGAACTATCAGAAAACTCGCCTCCAAGACGGCCAGCATTGTTCCAAGATGGCCTCCAATAAGCCTCCACGACGGCCAATATTGCTCCAAGAGAGCCCCCAAGATGGTCCCAATACGTCTCCAAGACGGCCCAAGATAACCTCCAGACGGCCGAAGAGGCCTCCAAGACGCCCCAAGACGGCTCCAAAAGGACCTTCAGGAAGCCAAACTCATTGATTTCCCGTAGGTGTCCCGATGAGTTGAGCGTTCTCGCCTTTTCGAGCTTCCGACGCTCCGAGACGGCCCCATAGGTCCCCGAGATCGCAGCAAGCCGACCCAAAAGAACCCCAAGAGGCCCGCGAGACGGCCCAAAATGGCTCCAAGACGGCTTGAAGATGCTCCCAAGAGGCCTTCAATACGGCCCGTGGACCTCCAAGATGGCCCTCAAGCGACCAAAGTGGGCCAGCGACCGCCCAGAGAGGGCCCCAAGAGGCCAAGAGGTCCCTCAGAGACCCCTTAAGAGGCCACAGGAGGCCCCCTAAGCAGCCCCAGGAGGCACCCTCCACCTTGCCCCTCCTCTTCACTCTGTTTCCCGACAGGGGTGCCGCAACTGCCGGGGGAATCTGTATTATCAAAGCTTCGCCAGGCTTCGGCCCAGCGTCGGCGGTTCCAAAAGGCAGGGGGGGCGGCGGCGATCCGCCGCAGGCGCCTTCGACACCGAGGGAGAAGGCGCCCGGCGGCGGGGCCACAACAAGCTGCATGCACCAAATGTCGTACCCCCCCCCTCCCCGTCTGATCGTCTGATCCCCCCCCCTTCGTCCGAACCACTCGAGGCTCTGGACGCTCTCGAGCCTGCCAGGCCGCGGGGGCGCCCTCGTGGACCACGGCCCGGCTCCCATGGGCACGCCGGAAGAGCTTCAGGGGTCGCTCGGTCGTCGTTGTCGTCTTCGCTTTGTCGTCGTCGTCGACGTCGTCGACGCTTCGGAGCCTGGTTCCTCCCAGAATTCTAGGAGCAAAAGGACGCGCCAGGAGAGTTTCAGGGGTCGCTCGGTCGTCGTTGTCGTCGTCGCTTTGTCGTCGCTTTGGCGTCGTCGTCGTCGTTGTCATTGTCGTCGTCGACGCTTCGGAAGCTTCTGGGCAACTTTTGAAGCTCTGGTCGCTATCGCTGGACGCCGCTCAAGACAGCGGGTTCCACGCCATACTCAGGCGACATGCGGCATTCAACCTTGAACGCTCACGCATGATAAGGAAACGTGATAACGGTCCAAGGGCCTTGGACGGCCATTTCGGAGCTTACCGAGCGGGGCGCGACCAACGAGTGTGGCCAAATATGGACCGATGAGGCAAGGATGCAACGGTTCTCTTGGGAAGGTTGCTCATCCTGACCATGCGGTTTAACTGTAGGACCTGTGCTGTTGCAACTCTACCTGGCGCCCCCCGAACGGCGCCTGGGTGACAACGGGTCCTGGGCCCAGGGGCCTTTCTCCAGGGTTGACTTCTCAGCCTGGGTCGTTTTCCGACGTGCTCGATTGGCTGGGGAGGGGAGCCCGAGAAGGGCGAAACGCCTCCAGGACCCCTTTACTCCAGGACGCTTTTTCTCTTCATGGTGACCGTCCGCCTTCCAGAGGCCAGGAGAGGAAGAGCAACATCCCAAATTCAACATTCTCATGTAGAAGGACCCAGCCATATCCACTGTGAGTACCGCGAGGCACGTGGGACGAAGAAGGGGAAACTTCCTATGGGGCCACGAAGCGCGCGAGGATTGAGCCGAAATGGACGGGGAGCCGCACATGGACCCTGACGCTGGAGATTTAGGTGGAACTCCCTATGGGGAGACGACCCGTGTGCGGGACATGCCGGGATGCGCGGGGAGCCGCTGGATGACCCTGCCACTGTGGCCTTAAGTGGGACTCCGTATGGCACCACGGCATTTGTGTTAGTGGTGCGCCGACGTGGACACGCCGTGGGCGAGCGAGCGAGCCACTCGAGCATGCGTGCCGGCTGCTCGGCCCTGTGCAGGGCATGGGTGTGCAATCAGTCTACCAGCCAGACAACAAATTTGTGAGACATGAACAGAAAATGGGATTGGGAATGGGGCAAATGTGGACCCCGCCACTGGGGCATTCGGTGTAACTCCCTATGGGGCCACAAAACATGTGAGGGGCGTGCTCGAATGGACATGCGGTGGGCGGGGAGCCGCATGTGGGCCCTGCTACAGGAACCTTCGGTGGAGCTTCCTGTGAAGCCAAAATGCATGGAAAGGGTGTGCCGACATGGACTTGCGGTGGGCGGGAAACCGCTTGAGGACCCTGCAACTGAAGCCTTCGGTGGAGCTTTTCGATGGGGCCACGAGAGGGTGTGTGCCGACATAGACATGCGATGGGCGAGGAGCCGCATTTGGAGCCTGCCACTGGGGCCTTAGGTCGAATTCCTTATGGGGCCACGCAGCGTGTGAAAGGGGTGCCGGCATGGACATGCGGTTGACGGGGAACCGTATGTGGCCATTGGGGCCTTCGGTCGACTTTCCGTGGGGCCACGGGAAGTGTGAGCGGCACGCCAAACTTAGCATGCGGTGGGCGGGGAACCGCGTGTGGACCCTGGGCATCGACCCGTTTCAGGTTCAAGAATCACCCTGGAACGGTTCTGGGGTGAAAATTGGAACCTGGAGCGGGTGATTTTCCATCTGGGCGCTCTCGGGTGCCTTGCGGGCGCATCTTGGGGAAGGGGGCTGGTGTACCCGAGCTCCCAAAATGGCCATTTTCCAAATGAAATCTCTTATTGGGGAGCTCGTTTTTCGCGGCTGGGCCGTCCCGCGCAGCGTCGGGGG